TTTTCAAAATTTTCACTCAGATTACTCACAAAACTTCAAAAACAACCAATATTATATTCATGTCCAAACACTAACTCTAATTTTCAAATTACCATTTTCACTTTTTTTTTTGGAATTTTACAATTCTTATAGTCCAAACGCCACTACATGTAATGCTAAGTTTTAACTATTGATTTGCAAATCTGAACAATATCCTATTTTACTCGGAAAATCGACAGTTTACTTTGAACTGCAATGGCTTCTTGCTTCTGGTTTAGCACATCTTAAAACATATAAAGCTGATGAAAATGAGGGCACAAGTACTAAGAGTACTTATTGGTTGGTTGCATAGAAACGTGGACTTTTTATTCGGGAATCCACACTTGTGAAGTCTTTAATATCTATTGCCATTTGACTTGTTATTAGTTCTTGGGAGTTCATTTTATCTTTTCATCTGTTCCACTTCTGTTGATTATATATTCTATCTGCTTTTCTGAACTCTGGTTTGCTTTCTATTTTGTTGTTCCTATGATCAGACTGGACAAGAGAGCATCCTTATTAGATGTGATAGTAGAAGGGCAAGACCAAGAGAAATTCGCCGTTATCAATTGGTTCGCGAAGTTCCACGGCCGGGGACAATCTGATGGTGCTGAGACCTCATCTTCATCAGGCCCAGCTGCACATACCCACAAACCTTTTCCCCAGAGATACGTCACTGCACTTCCAATACCGAAAAATCTCCCTAGTGGGGTACATTGTCTTTCTCTATGATCACAAATGAATTGATTTTTCCCTCTGCTCTGTCATCAATTACCTCAACTTCTGGTAGAAATTTTTGTCCTAGTCATGTACTAGCACTAGCAAGAAGAAAATAGAACCACACAACCAGTATTGCTGAACATACACTCAATTTTCACCTTAGATGCAATGTAGGCTGTCCAATCCTTTGCATTAAAAAAAAAAAGAAGAAAAAATTTTCATTATCAAGAAATATATGATTCATTCCATGTACATCTCTTCGAAGACTAGGGTGCCCCATCATTTTTTGCCAGAAGTGGGGAGAATATATACCCTGTGGTTAAAAGTTGTTGATATGTAGTTGGTCAATGGTGCTGTTATATATGTCACCTCCTTGAAGAATTATGAAGGTTATTATAATTGCTTTAGGCAGGTCCATGTATTTGTATTGGCATCATCATCAAGTATAAGTGATGCCTAGGCTCATAATTTATTCTGGTGATGCCCTTTTTTTTTTTTTTTCGATAAAGGTTAATTATTCTGTTGATGGATCTCTCCATTTGTAGTTTTTAGAGTTAACAGCTGGAAACTGTGCTAAGCTGTCCAGATTGTTCAGAACATAGTTTAGATGAAAAAGGAGCTTTCAGAACAGCTTGATATTTAATTCTTTCCCTTGTACAGAGGTTTAGATCAATGCCTGTACTTTGCCTTGTATGGCTCTTAAAGTGCAACTGCTGGGCAGATTTTTGATAACTTGTTCTGGGACTTCTATAGTCTAAAATGTTGATGTTTTCTCCTGTTATGTGTTGTGTTGAATTATACCCTCTTTTCCGAGGGTCCCATCTCGCACCCTCCCCCCTCCCTCCACAGTCCACACAACCACATTCTAGGAAACAAAGGAGAATAACGCCTCACAACCTTAACCCAAAGTGAAAATTTGCAACTTCCGGGGCCACATTTTCTCTTATCGGTGTTCTTTTGTCTCTCTCGGAATGAGTAAACTGCTTGGTTTGACGTGTGATTGTCAACAATAACTTTCTTCCAGCATAGCTTTGACGGTCCAGAAAAGAGGTTGATACACGAACTGGGAGAAACTTTGGTTATTTGGTTGATCAAATGTGTGTTCTCTATGTGCTTTGCTTAGTTACAGAATGTCAAAATGCGTGTTGAAACTACAAAGAGATTGAGCATAAGCTGAATAGTAGTAGTTTCAAACTGTAACCTATAACCAAAGGCTAAGTGAACGCCCAGAATGGGGTGTAACTGAGCAAATCAAAGTCCGATGGGATGTCACTGGAGTTAGCCGCGCAATGAACTGTTTAATTTACTTGAACATATGCTGATTAATAGTTTTATCTGAGAATTGCATGCAAAAATAAAAAATAGCCAGATTTACGACAGGTAATTAAAAAATAGCCACAATTTCAAAAGAAATAGAAATTTAGCCACTTTTTAATGTAAACATAAAATCTGAACTAAAACACTCTTAAAAATCCGAAAATATTCTAGCATAATATGTTGGAGTTCGAAGTTCTCGAGGTTTTCAAAGGAACATCTGAAGTAGACTAGCAGAGGACTCTATCATTTGGAAAGGGAACAACGGCAAGTGTTTCTCAGTCAAGGGGGCTTACAAGCTTCTATGCAATCCTGGACAACAACAATGCTTCTGGCCTTGGAAACTTCCTTCTAAAGTATCCTGTTTTACATGGCTAGTAGTCAAGAAGGCCCGTCTCACCCATGAGAATCTGCAAAGAAGAGGACTACTATTGAGCTCTAGATGTTTCCTATGCCAAGCGGAGCAAGAAGACAACAACCACCTTTTTCTACATTGTGTTGTTACATCTCAGTTGTAGTAGTTATTCCTTGCACTGGTGAATATAACTTGGGATATGCCCAGGACTGTATGGATCAAAATCTGACCACACGTGGATTAGCGTTAACAGGAATGGTAAGAGGTTAACAAAGCCATGGTCGTACCCACTAGATGTAATAACGACGAATACCTCGGCCACAGCCGAGATCGTGCCCTCAAGAAGCCTGTATGACGAAGAAAATATCATGGTAGTTGAGGGAGACGACGTGAAGTACAGTCAAGGGAATGAAGACCCTCTGGTGAAGGACCGATGGACAAAAGGGAATATTGACAATATATATAGGAGATGAGAAGACAAGAAGAGGGGGGCTTTTTCTCTCCCAAAAGGAGAACAACATAAGAAAACCATGAAAGGGTTTAGATAGGGAAGATAAACCTCTGTAATTATGATTGTCAAATCAATAAATTTAGATCTCATAGTCATCAATGACATTCCTTCTTGTCCTTCTTTGCTCTTACATTTCGGGACGATACTCTAAAGATGTAAGTTTATTATCATGCTTGATGTCTTTTAATAATCTTGAATCGATATATAGCTTTGCTATATCTCATTCTTTTATTCATTACACTTAGATCTGGAGTTAATTATTCTTGGCTAGGATTTATCCTCTATTCTCTTCATTAATTAGTTAAACAAAAGGCTTAACACTTTTTGGTTAAACAATTTTGCTCCGTCTGTGGAGATTTCTTAGCCAAATTTTTAGTTTCCTTTAGATCTAAAACCAGTCATATATCACTTCCAAAGATGTTGTCCTAACCTCACCATCTCAGTATAAACACCAACTCGAAAAAGTGATAGATAAGCTTTTGAGAGTAACCAAACCAATCTGGGTCAGATCTCTACACGATATCGAAATTATGTCTGGTGTTTATGCAAAACCCACGCCTCATCTGTAGCGATGGGTTTGGCACGTCATATGTATGTTTAAAGTAGGATCGTGGTCACCACGCACTTAGCACGACCGCAATCCTATTTGACGTATTCACCTTGTATACCGGCCTATACTCCCACCTCTTAGGAAGGGACGATAGTCTACTGTGTGATTTTTTGAGATAACAGGCATATCTTGCCTTATTTTCGTACCCACAAGCGCTATGTGATTTATGAACAAAGTATGACATGTTTCCCTTATTGTTTGCGCATATCGGACGGGACCGAATTGGGACTCGGTCTCAATGTCCCAACGAGCAAGGTAAGTCCAACCCACGAGAAACCCGGACGCGACTAACGACGAAGCCAAACACGGCTGCCAAATTTGAAACCGTCATTCGAGCACGGGGCGAAACAAGCGACCCTACAGCGCCTTTCCCCCTTTCACCGACTTACCAGACCAAGGTAACATGCAATTTCGTTTGGGTTTAACTTATCACGCTCTCTTTTTGGTTCGGAACAGGAACACGAGCATTCTCACAGGTACGCAAAGAAGGAACGAACGCCGCCAAACAGACCAGGAAAATGTTCCGTACCATACCACCTCGCAAGCAATGAGCGAACAAAGCCCTCTAAGTCGTACCGTACTACAAATGACAGAAACGGCTCAGAACAGGTCGACATTGTTAAGAAACAATCTCCGGAATCGGGGTCTGAGCGATGGGCCCATGAAACGCACAGTAATCTCCAATGAAAGCAAAGTTAAACGAACCGGGACTCATCCCCACGCACGGTATTCTCCAACAAAAACAAAATTAAACAAACGAGGACTCACCCCGATGCGCGCATAAATAATACGGTGACGAGTAATGTTCTCCGATAAATGTAATACAACGGGTTACAATTTGACCTCGCTCGAATTGACACCCTTGCGGCCAACGGCCATCGCCAAATGAAAGGAAAGTTCGACCTCGCTCGAACTTATAACGGGTTACAATTTCGACCTCGCTCGAATTAACACCCTTGCGGCCATCGGCCATCGCCAAACGAAAGGAAACTTCGAACTCGCTCGAACTTATAACGAGTTACAATTTCAACCTTGCTTGATTAACGCCCTTGCGGCCATCGGCCGTCGCGAAACGAAAGGAAAGTTCGACCTCGCTCGAACTTATAACGAGTTACAATTTTGACCTCGCTTGATTAATGCCCTTGCGGCCATCGGCCGTCGCCAAACGAAAGGAAAGTTCGACCTCGCTCGAACTTATAATGGGTTACAGTTTCGACCTCGCTCGAATTAACACCCTTGCGGTCATCGGCCATCGCCAAACGAAAGGAAAGTTCGACCTCGCTCGAACTTATAATGGGTTACAATTTCGACCTCGCTCGAATTAACACCCTTGCGGCCATCGGCCGTCGCCAAACGAAAGGAAAGTTCGACCTCGCTCGAACTTATAACGGGTTACAATTTCGACCTCGCTCGAATTAACACCTTTTCGGCCATCGGCCATTGCCAAACGAAAGGAAAGTTCGACCTCGCTCGAACTTACAACGGGTTACAATTTCGACCTCGCTCGAATTAACACCCTTGCGGCCATCGGCCATCGCCAAATGAAAGGAAGGTTCGACCTCGTTCGAATTCATAGCAGGTTACAGTTTCGACCTTGCTCGAATTAACACCCTTACAGCCGTCGACCATCGCCAAGTGGAAGTAAAAATTCGCCCACCCGAATCAATAAATCAAAGTTTGACCCCGTCGAACTCATAACGGGTCATAATTTGATCTCACGCGAGCTCGCCCCCAGCCATCGCCGAACTCGCCACGAAAATTTAACTTCGCCTAAGTTGGCGACTCTAAGTTCGACATCACTCGAATGCACAAGTCAAACCGACTTCGCCTAAGTTGGCAAGTCTAAATTCGACCTCGCTCGAATATACAAGTCAAACTGACTTCGCCTAAGTTGGCAAGTCTAAATTTGACCTCGCTCGAATATACAAATCAAGGTTGATTCCGCCCAAGTTAACAAATCAGAAGTCAACCTCGCCCGAACTTGCAGATCCGAAGTGACTTCAGTCGAACTCACATAACGAGATCCGACCTCGCTCGGATCAAGCAAACTAGATCCGCCCTCATTCGAATTCCTAATTCAAGATCAGGGAATCATCACGGAGAAATCCGAAGATCTCCTCCCCAAGAAAGAAAAAACAAAAAAAAAATGGGAGAGAAGGAGAAAGAAGGTCAAGAGATACACAAACAAAGGTGAAGCAACTATTTTATTCAAATGTACATGCGCAACAGCCGCACCTTACAAAAGGCCAAAACAGGCCCTCAAGAAAAATATTTAAAAAAAAATAAGTACAAGAAGCTGCAACAAAGTTCCACTCGGCGTCATCTCCACCGCCGTTCTCCCCAGCATCATCATCATCAGAAGGAATCCCATCCTCAATATCAACGCCCTCACAAGCCTTCCGTGTTGCAGGGTCGTAACTGCAGGAAATACGAGCCTCGCGTGCCTTCGCCCGAGCATCTTCGAAGGCGGCCTCAGGAACAATCCCTTCATCCCACAAACCCTTGTATATATCTCGTTGGCCTCGGCATGGACCCATAGCTCATACAAGCGGCGGGGGACCGCGGCAGAGGCAAATTCGGCCTGGGCCAACAGTTGCGCCTTCTCTGCCTCGAGAGCCATGACCCGGTCTCCAAGGCTCGAAGCCTCCCGGTCAATTTCACCAATACGTTCCTCGAGCCGCGCCTCCCTAAGCGTGGTCTTCGCCCTCTCAGACTCCTGCTCAAATTTGAGGACGCGGATAGTGTTCTCTAGCGCCGCTGCTCTCGCCAAAGCCGACACCCGAGCATCCTCGGCACTTTCCATCTCGCCCACTTTCTTTTCCAGCGTGGCCAACTTCCCCATCCATTCTGCGCTCAAAGCTTCGACTCTGCTAGCATTTTGCTCAAGTTTGGCTTGTAAAGATAACACCTTCGCCTGAAGGTCCTCGCACTCCGCGACAACCCCTTTGCCCATCTCGAGCTCCTCATTTTTGGTATGGAGCAGCTCCTCGAGCTCACTGCATCTGTGGATAGACCGCATCGGCTCCTGATCTCTTTTCTCCAACTCCTCCCTGATGGACTGGGTACTAGTGCCCGCTCGGAGCTGCTCGTGCATCTCACGGCATCTGTTGCAATACCGTCGATACTTCTCGGCCATTTTTAGAAAAATATCGGTTCGCGTCTCCGCCCTACAAGCACTCTCGACCTCTAGCATGTAAGACTAAAAAGAGGAGGGACGAAAGAGTCACTATAAAAACAAAGGCCATAAAGCGAAGAAAGCAAAAGGGAACTCACCTTAAGGCCATCACTGCCACACCGCGTGACAACTCAGAATCATTGACCTCCTGAAGAGATTCGCTCTCGGTGGCGGAGCATAGAAGATCGAACTGTGGCACCAAATCGACCGTGTCTTGCAACAGGTTGAGGTCCAATGGAATTTCGAGTATTCGAGAAGGGCCTTCCGCCCTTACCACAGTTCGGGTAAAACCCTCCTCGAACATCCTCATGTCCTCTGGGTCAATGTCGGATTCGGATTCATAATCCTCAACCATGACGCCTTTCCCCCTCTCATTGGCCGAAGAAGGGGTGCGGTTCGGCCGAGATGAGATGCCCTGCTCGGGACAACAACATCAGCCTCGGAGCTCCGTCCCTTTGTCACAATAGTCTCCTGAACGTTCGCAACAGGCATCGCCTCCGCATCCACGTTGGTGGTGCCGTTGATGCAAGGTCGCCCCTCGAGGGTGTTTCGGATAAAGAAGCCCCTTCCAACACTACCCTTTGCCTCTTTGATGGGGCCTCTCCACTACTGACGCGGGAAGGTTCCCTTGTTGAACGGACTGCGGGAACCGGAGTCTCCAGTTGAGGAGTAACCTCCAAGCGTACGCCCTAAGCCGCGGCCGCGGTCCGACGGGCGGCCGGATTCTCTACGCCCTCGCCTACAGTAGCTCTTGGTGCGGGCCGGGCAGAGAGCACCGGTTGACGGAACGCAAGCGGTGGAGCCCTTGTCCTTCTCACTCCTCTCCGACCTGTCAGTAAATAGGGATTTGATAACATAACGACGAGATAAAAAAACTGTGAAGTAAAGAACAAAGCGGAACCACAATGAACCAACTCACCGGTAAGTGGCTTGCGCCCAAACTTCTCATAGAAGAACGCCCACTCGCGAATCCCCACCGTGTGGGGGAGAATTGCGCTCGCCCACTCACGAATATCGGCAACAAGCGGGGGAGGTAGTCTCTCGGCTACAAAGACAAAAGCAAATCCTCAGCGAAGTCGTTTAAGGGGGGACAACTGATATCCACCTTAAGTAAAATTGCACAAATTAAACAGAAAGGAGAACTTACGAGCAAAATTCCACGTCTTAGGAAACCCCGCCGGGTTCGATATGACATGCTCCGTTCGGATGTAAAAGTAGTTTTCCTAGAAGCGGCGGTTGGTCTTGTCGTCCATCTTCACCACCAAGCTCTTGGTTCCACGATGGCGCATGTGAATCATCGTGCCCCGAAGAAAATGGGGGGCGAAGAGGTGGAGCATATGTCCTAGAGAAATTCCTCGGCCGGTCAGCTCTGCGTACTTGATGAGCATGAGGACGAGCTTATACGCATAGGGGGAGAGTTGAGCCGGGCACACCTCATAAAAATGGCAGAAATCAACCACCAAAGAAGGAAGGGGAAGCGTGTACCCGACGATGAAGGGATACGCGTAAAACGCGCAGTAGCCCGGGCGATGTAAATGCACTATATCCTTACCCGACGGCACCATTTCAATATGGTCGGGGATCCCCCATTTGGCTTTGAACGCGGTGATCGTCGCAGCATCTCGTGGAAGGTACGAGCTCCGGTTCATTCCGGAAGGGCTGTTAAAATCGGTCCTCGCCTTCCCCGGGCGGGGAACCACCTTATCTACCGTCGGAAATCCCTCATCTTCCACTGCCTCCGCTCCCTCTTGAAGAAGGGATGCGTCAGTCTCCGGCACCGGAGCACCTAAGCGTTATCGGAGTAGGAAGAAGTACTGCCATTTGTTTTCTTTGGTCGAAAGAAGCAAAGATGATGGATGAGAAAGACGATGGTCACTGCAAATTCTAGCGGGAGCAGAGATGTGAGAGAGTAAGGAAAAAGGAGAAGACTTATGAAATTCTCTCTTAAGCAATTGAAAAATTTAACATTCAAATGAGGAGCTCCCCCTTTATTTATAGGGACATAAATGCCCTAAGCGGGAAAACCAAGAGCTGCCAGTTAGAAGAAGGAAAGGGCACGGGCACGAGAAACGACACAATATCTGGAAAATGTGCGCCATAATGACGCATGGGGAATATTGATGACACCCTGAACTGACGTGACGGTCCAGTCTTGAATTGACGTAACGGTCCGACGCGATTCTCGAAGTATCACATCGCTACCTCGCCATGAGGTTCTCGCCCCTCGCATAGAGCGTTCAGATTTTTCCACTTCTCGCCCCTCGCATAGAGCGTTCAGATTTTTCCACTTTGGAATCAACAGGGTCTGCCCATCGAGCTCGCCCATAGGCGACCCCAACGGGCGGAGGGACTAACTGTATGGGTCAAAATCTGACCACACGTGGATTAACGTTAACAGGAATGGTAAGAGGTTAACTAAGCCGTGGTCGTACCCACTAGATGTAATAACGACGAATACCTTGGCCACAGCCGAGATCGTGCCCTCAAGAAGCCTGTATGACGAAGAAAATGTCATGGTAGTTGAGGGAGACGACGTGAAGTACAGTCAAGGGAACGAAGACCCTCTGGTGAAGGACCGATGGACAAAAGGGAATATTGACAATATATATAGGAGATGAGAAGACAAGAAGAGGGGGGCTTTTTCTCTCCCAGAAGGAGAACAATAGAAGAAAACCATGAAAGGGTTTAGATAGGGAAGATAAACCTCTGTAATTATGATTGTCAAATCAATAAATTTAGATCTCATAGTCATCAATGGCATTCCTTCTTGTCCTTCTTTGCTCTTACATTTCGGGACGATACTCTAAAGATGTAAGTTTATTATCATGCTTGATGTCTTTTAATAATTTTGAATCGAGATATAACTTTGCTATATCTCATTCTTTTATTCATTACCCTTAGATCTGGAGTTAATTATTTTTGGCTAGAATTTATCCTCTATTCTCTTCATTAATTAGTTAAACAAAAGGCTTAATACTTTTTGGTTAAACAAGGACTACTTGTGATATTTTGAGGTGCTAGAACAATGTAGGTGGTCGGGGAAGGAAGAAGAGATAGTGGAGGGCTATACCAACATGCATTTGGTGGAATGTATGGAAGGAAAAAATGATAGGTGTTTTAAAGATAGGAGGAGTTCTTTACAGAAAATTAAGCTCAATTGTATTTTGTCCTTTCATTTTTGGTGTAATGGATTTTGCGCAGATGAAACTGAGACTTTATTAGAGTTGTTAGAGTCCTTGTAAGAAGAATCTTGGACAGATGTAAATAGGTCTCTTCCTTTTTTTTTTTTTTTTTGTAATTGTGATTTCCAACACAAGCTTTGTACTGATGAATATATTGTTACCTTTATAAAATAAAAAATATATGTTTGGAGTTTGAATTTATTACGTATGAGCTTCTAGCATAATGTGCTGGAGTTCCAACATAATATGCGAGGAGTTTATATATAGGAGTTCCATAATCCAACATATTATACTGAAACTTTTCGTGTGCTGGAATTCCAACATAATATGTTGAAAGTTTATACGCAAGAGCTCCATAATCCCGCATGTTATGCTAAAACTTTTCGTATTTCAGCAAAACAATGGCTATTTTCAACGACTTTGCAAACACCGACTATATTTTTTTCAATGACTTTACAAACGTTGGCTATTTTTCAATTACCAGTCCGAAAACTGGCTAGCCCGTGCTATTTTCACTTTTATAATGTGTAAAAGAACTCATGGATGAGGTAAAGCTAGAATAATACATATTAATTCACAAAACTTCTACTATTAAGAATTTTTTCAAAAGCTATAGAAGTAAGTTTCTTTACGAAATGATAAGTATGACGAGTACACTAATTTATGCAACTGAAATAAACCATTAAGATTAATTCATCCAATTCGTCGTAAGCTACCTTATTCAAATTATTCAAACTAGACTAGGAATTAAGTAACTAAACGGTAATTTACTCAACCATCTTTACGTGAAAGGAAAACGAAGATTACCGGCTTGCTACTTCAATTACATAGAATAACTTTCTCTTACCGCCAAAATTACCAACCTTTACTTCTCCTTTTTTAACCTGTAAAATTTGCAGAGTATTTCTGCAACGTTGAGAAAAAAATAAGTACTCCTTGGCCAATGAAAATTTCCAGAATAGACAGCTCACAAATATGAATCCAAACAGTAACTTCATCATAAAAGTACATGTCCCATGACCACATCCCTTGTTTGAGAAATACGATGTTTCCCTATCTTGGTATAATGGACACCAACCCAATCAGACCAAGGGTTAATATGATCGTGGAGTATTCTATCAATGGAACAAGTGAACCTAGCATCTCTGCCCCCCAAAAATCCCAATAAACAAACAAACAAATAAATAGAAAACTAACGCTCATAGTTGCTCTTGCGGCGGAATCTTAGTAGCTCAGTTAGTTGGCTACCTAAACTTTCACCTTATTGGTGAGGGTTCAATTCCTCACCTTGTAATCCCTTCCCCCATTTCCCACTCCCCTACCCCAATATATAATTAAAAAAAATTTAAAAAAATAGCGGCTCTTCCTTGCCTCGTCACTTTCATATTACTAAATATGTCACTGTTGGCTCTTCACCCGCTGGTTGCTTTAACAAACAAAGACAGCATTAGGCAGCCATTTGCCTGACACTTGGATTCATTGCCTGGGAAACAACAGTAGCATTGTTTGTGAGTTGGATGATTCTCCTGGACAAGGACAACTTCACCATCTTAAATCCCAGCTTAGGTCGCTTTTATATCTTTTCAAGCTCTATCGACCTCATTGGCTAATAGATCCATCGCCATTACATGTATATATACATGCCTCGATCAAATGAGTTGGGGTTATCCATGCTAACCCTTTGTATCCATTCTGCGCTGCCCTGCTCAGGTGCAATAGATGCATCAGCATTATTTCTACAGATAAGTATGAAGATAAAAATCTTAGAAGCTTAAAGATCAGCTCAATGCTTTATTTGGCATATGGATGAGCTCAAGCTTGAAGTTCCAATCTTGGAATTACGCAACGTTAAAATTTAAAGCGTTTTTTCACCCTTGTTCACCTACCTGTGTAGTTGAGGCTTCAAGATATGGTAACATGCATCTCCTCACCTACCATAGCAAATAATTCACCTATCCTGTGTCAAGGTACAATAATCTGTTACAACACGATATACAAGGGTAAATATCTCATTCTAGACGAATTTACACATTATATGACTTGTGAATACCAATACCAATAGAAGCCAAAAATCGCAGAAGTAGGTTCAGAATCAAAGATTGAAAAACTTGAAGCGCCACAGAATCACTTTACCTGAATCTATCGACATTGACTTCTGCAAGCCAGGTTGTTAAGTAAACCTACAATTCAAATATTTAATAAGTACATAATGAAAGTGGAAACAACAACAGGAGGTAGGTAAATTTTTCCGTCCAATAAGACAGTGATGGATTTTCCAAATCTGATCATCAGCAATTGTATACGTATTTCACTCCACCATTATAAAATATTACCTTGACAATAAAACATGATACAGTGTCATCCTAAAGGAAAAAAAAACTTTTCGAAAAAGCAAACATGATTTAATGAGTTGAAACAGTGCATAGAAGAGACACGAAAACCTGTCTTGAACTTAAAGAAAAAAAAAGGTTATCAAGTAATAATATCTCCAATATAGCTATCTCGCAGCAATTTCAAGAGAAGTTTGATACCGAAAAAAAAAAGCCTTTATGCTTGAGCCAATAGCTTTTTTACATGGTTAGAAGTAAGACCTTCAGAAAGACAATTTGTGTGATAGAAGTAAGAGCTTAAGAAATTATATGGGATATACATAATTATTGATGACACCATTAGAGCAACTATGATATCCTACTCAATGTGCCGGCCAAGGGGCTTTTCCCAGAGTAATGATATGATGATGTATCACTCACCATCAAGCCTAGAGTCTTTGAAGCACTAGGGATGTGCCTCAGTGTGCTAATAATTCTAACAACTATAGACACAGAGGAGTAGGCACACAAATTTATTCCAAAACTATAACTTCATATACAACAGGTGACCTGATACCTGGAGAATATTGCTCTCTAATTGATTACTCGATTGCATGGGGGAAGTCCGAGAATTGCAGCTCTCTAGCCTGGGCACGAGTTGATTAAGAACCTCATTTGAGTTTGAATTGCATTTGAGCAGATCTTCAAACTCTCCTACATAGAAATGATCACTCCATTTCAGCCTGTCGACTTGTGAAAATTCCTCGGAACCAATGGAGCATATTTCCATTACAAGCAACCGCTGCACATCACTAAACTTTCAATAAGGCAAAACAAATATATAGATCATAGAAGGTTTGTACCAATAAAGTGAAAAATGCCTCACTGTGGCGGCGGAGATGAGAAAATCACCTTTATATTCGTTTCTGACACAAACATCTGGACCAGCTCCAATGCCAGTTTCTCTGAAGTCATTAGAGAGGAAAATTGTAAATATGAAGTGCTAAGCAGATAAGTGAATAAAAGGAGAAGCTAGTAATCAGTTTAAGACCAAAAGGAATCCAAGGTATAACTCCTTCTACTGATTGTTTAATGGGACACTCTCCATTCCCGATATCTCAAGTCTATGCGTAGATTATCCACCCCTAAAGCAATATTTTATAGTTAACCAAGGAGATTAAGGGTGACTGCGGAATGTCGTCAGGCCAGGCAGAAGAGACTATCATGTGATCACCAAAACCCTACAACCAGGAAGGGGAGAAACAAAAATTCCTGACCACACTCAAACTCAAAATTGAGCTCTAGCAACTTATACCAAATTGACAACCAGATTTGCTTATAGGTTTTATATGATTACTTCTTTTCTTTTGATAAGTAGGTTTTATATGGTTACTTCTGTTGTTGGACCATGATATTCCATTTGAACTCTTCTCAGGCCAATATCATTTTTAGTACACTAGAGGCAAAAGGTTTAATGAAAGCTTTGTGATACCCTTGTACTACTAACTAAGCAGACAATAAATTTAACACTCATTGATTAGCTGGGACTACGAATTAACATATGATAACCTTTTAACAGAACAGACAAATCTCTGCAGGAATTCCTAATAGTGGGACAGTCTGCAACTTGCAAAGGTTTTAAAGGCATACCGAAATCAAAGATTGACCAAAAGGTGAAAACAGGAATTCCATCACTATCACCAGTGTCATTCTGACCTCCAGGGAACAAAGAAAACTCAGTAAGTGCACTGCCATTTGTTCCTTTGCGGTAACACCTCATAGATTTGGAAACATTGACCATCTGAGTTACAACAGCCACCTGCAGACAGCTAAATAGTCAGGCAATAAACAGGCATGGCAATTTCATAGAAGTCACTGGAACTAAGAAAGTAAAATGCCAGTATACCAGAGTCCTAAACAATCAAAGTTTCAATATAGTCATATAAGGAGTAAGATCCATGCCTAAGCAAGAGCTAATTGAAGGAGAGAACAAGAACCAAGTCTCGAAGATAAATCACTTGGCAATTGGTTTCTGTCAATGAGTGAATGACACGCAAACAACTAAGAACTACATATACATGTCCTGATTCAGTCTTGATTTTTGTACCCTAAACTAAAAGTACTCTAGACCCCAGTTTCCCAAGATACCAAAACTTTTGCAATTTGTATACTGACACCTAGCGATATATATACACTTCACAACAACAACAACAACAACCCAGTAAAATCCCACTGGGGAGAGAAGAGTGTACGCAGACTTTACCCCTATCCCAGAAGGGTAGAGAGGCTATTTCCGAAAAACCCTCGGCTCAAGAAGAAGAAAATAAACAATAGACGATAGGCAATGGGTCAGTGACAGCAACAGAAGCTAGAAAAATAATATCAGCATCGTAAGAAACAGAAAATAGATGGAAAAACAATAACAATAATCAGTAATAATGCCATAGAAAATAGTGTGGAAACTACATAAACCGTGTGGAAACTACATAAACCACTAACGACCCAAGGCGAAACATTACTAGCCTAGCCCCGCCCCGGCACGAACGTGGAAAAATGCTCGACTCCGTCCTAACCTACAATCCTAATGCTCGACCTCCACACCTTCCTATCAAGAGCCATGTCCTCGAAGATCTGAAGTTGCGTCATGTCCTGCCTGATCACCTCACCCCAATACTTCTTAGGCCACCCTCTACCTCTTCTCATACCTGCCAATGTCAACTACTCACACCTCCTAACCGGGGCATCTGTGCTTCTCCTCAGCACGTGCCCGAACCATCTAAGCCTCGCTTGTAGCAGCTTGTTGTCCATGGGAGCCACCCCACCTTCCCTGGAATATCTTCATTCCTAATATTATCCAGCCTAGTGTGCCCGCACATCCATCTCAACATCCTCATCTAAGCCACTTTCATCTTCTGAGTATGAGAATTCTTGGTTGCCCAACACTCAGCCTCATACAGCATGGTCGGTTTAACCACCGCTTTATAGAACTTGCCTTTAAGTTTCGATGGCACTTTCTTATCACACAGGACTCCAGATGCTAACATCCATTTCACCCACCCCACTGCTATCTCCCCCCCAGTGCGTGACATCCTCGTCTATCTCCCCATCCCCTCGATAATTGACCCAAAGTACTTGAAACTTCCTCTCTTGTAGTGTTGTGAAGAGTGTGAAGCGACAAAAAGCGACAACTCCCATTTCGCTTAAAGCGAGAAGCGAGAAGCGAAGCGCTCGCTTTTTTGAAGTGAAGCGGAATTTTAAAAAGGATATAAAAATTCGAGGTAAAAAAAAACTAGGCAGAGGAGGGAAAAAAACTGGGCAGTAAACTGGGCAATTTTTTCTTTCATTGTAAAAAATTGGCATCAATTCTAAGCAAGAACCCAAGGTAAAAAAACGCCAGCATTTCGCTGCTTTTTGGATGTTTAAACGGTGAAAGAAAAAGAAAAAGAAAAAGGAGAAGGAGAAAAATCAAAACATACTTGTTGTTTGAACTTGAAGTTGAAGAAGTTGATGCTTTCGGTCGATGAAGAAGAAGAAGTCGACCAGTGTCTTTAAAACCCTAGTCGCATTGCATTTGTTCGTTTAATGAAAGACCAGACCTCGTTTTTAATAAAATAGGGCTGGGTCTGTTTTAAAACACAGAAGCGGTCGCTACTTCGCATTGCATCGCTTTCCCGCTTCTCGCTTTTTAGTGGGAAGCGGTCGCTTTTCTACACCTGAGTCGCTTCGGCAGGGTGAAGCGTGCAGCTTCTCGCTTAAAGCGAGGAATCGGGCGCTTTTTTAAACAGTGCTCTCTTGGGGATGACTTGTGAGTCAAGCCTCACGCTCATGTCTGCTTCTCCCGACGCATCGATGAATTTACACTCCAGATATTCTGTCTTAGTCCTACTCAACTTGAAACCTTTAGACTCAAGGGTCTCTCTCCAAACCTCCGACCTCTCGTTAACGTCGCCTCGCATCTCATCAATCAGAATTATATCATTAGCAAACAACATACACCATGGCACCTCCCCTTATGGTGTGTTAGTGCATCCATCGCCAGGACAAATAAGAACGAGCTGAGCGCACACCCTTGGTGCAACCCCATAACAATCGGAAAGTGCTCCGAGTTACCTCCCACAGTCCTAACCTAGTATTAGCTCCCTCATATATGTCCTTTATCACTCTAATGTAAGCTACCAGCACGCCTTTCACCTCCAGGCATCTCCAAATAACCTCTCTAAGAACCTTGTCATACGCTTTCTCTAGGTCAATAAACACCATGTGCAAATCTTTCTTCCTACGCTTGTACTGTTCCACCAACCTCCTGATAAGGTGGATAGCTTCCGTACTAGAACGACCCGGCATGAACACTTCACAGTAAATACTTTATCTTATAGCTAAAACTTTTTGACCCTATAAATTCACTTATATAACTTTGTCAAATTAGTTATATAATTTTTTTGGTCAGATAAGGTTAAAAATGGATAGTCATACAATTATGGGTTGAGAGTGTGATCTCAAGGACGTTGGACATTCCAAGGACGAGATAAATGCAATTCTGGATGTCAAACAAGCACAGATAAGCATGGAAGACAAACGCAGTAAACACTTCAAAAGACCAGTAGAGATATCGGTTTGTTGCTTTTACCAGAATTAGCATCAAAGGAATTTGTGCCAGGATATCTAAACAGCAGATAATTCGTTCACGTAGAAATACGTAACACAACTACTGGCCTTCCAAATACTTGGGGATTATAGAAGTAACATTGTGCTTAATCAATCATTCAAACTGTACATGACGCATACGTGTCTATTTTCCTGTGTTTTTCAAATAGGGATGTTTCCCTTCCAAACATAGGAGAGGGTCGAATGAAATAGGGAGCATTTGAAAGTAATGAAGTTATAAGACATTTGCAGAAGCCTGTACTATTAAAAAAGATGTTAAGCATTACGTAGGGAGATACAGACAGGTTTAGATGTGTAAATAACACAAAACGATATTCAGGTTCCGAGTAACACAGAAGAAAACCACAGCAGAGAATACATCTATTTGATGAAAAAATGTTTACCAACTTTACTCAGAGTAGCAAGCTAATTATTGACACATTTATGAAGCGGACCAGTAAATATGTAGTGTGCATACCATATCTTTGTAAGATGACCAGAGGTTATTCCTATAAGTCTCCTGAAAAATAAAGACAGCTGTGAGAAATTACTCAGAGTACAGTTTGATTTTGTCAATAAACAGAGATGGGTTTTCCATTCTACTTTACAGACTCCTTTCCAGCATACTTGAGCAACTAAATAACGAGGAAAACCTCCGACACGCAATCAGACAATATTTCCAGCACAATCTCGAGCATACTCGATGAGCAATCCAACAACATTAATTTAGCAACAAGAATATTAGTAAGAGATTTGTCGCTTGGAAGGTGCTAATATATTCTCAGTACTTCAAATTCAATAGGTTTTCCATGTATATGAGGAAACAACAAGGGACATCAAAACACATTGTCTCAATCAACTTTATGCAGTGTGCAAATAGCCAGCTTCTAGGACAATTCAAATTGAAGCCAAAAGACCGAAGGAAAAAGGCAATTACTATAATCACCTGCTGCTTGAACAATTTCCTACATGCCTTTTTACGTATATCAGGCATATCTGTTAAAACACCCAAGTCCATTGCATCCATATACCTGCACCAAATCTCCAAAGGATGTAATTCAGAATCACTGACAAGTCAACATTGTAAATTGTTAGAGTCCTGCACTAGCTGAGGGTATGGATTGTAGGCTCTGCTGAGTTAGGGCCAGGATCCATTTTGCTTAACAGAAATCACATTAACCACAATACAAATCCACATACTCTCTTCAATACTATTCCCTCGTCTCAGAAAGAATGAGACAATTACTTTTTTTACGATGGTAGTATTCAAGCCAACTTGTGCGCACCTCAACTATTCCATCGGGTACATGCTACTTCCCACCAGCTCAAGTACGAGTTAACTCTGCCCACCAAGGCTTAGGCAGATGGAAAAAAATCACCTAGTATTTTTTTGCCTCCGCTCCATTGGGATTTGAACCTGAGGCTTGCTTAAAGTGCTTAATCCCTAAAGCTCGGTGTTAAGGCGTGTTCACTTCACTGATGGGTTCTGTCTTTCATGGCACGACAACATATATGTATATAGCTTACTTCTAGTTTTTCCATTCTTATGTTTGTGTATAGTAGTTATATTTTCTTGCATTACTTCATTGGTGCTTTTCTTAGCAATGCTTAATAAACTTCGGTGCTTCTTTATTCTTTTCGCTTTTGACTACTCTGCTGAGAACTCATGATTCTCCTCCCACTTTGACCACTAACCACACCCTTGGGCGCTGACACAATTATATTTGGAGTCATTTTTTTATTCATACGTTGTGGTAATGCTTTTTTAACTATAAAAATAATGATTTGCAGTATCTTTAAGCAAGTTCCTGACTTGTAATTTTATTCAAACGCGTGCTTGAAGTTTACCTTTGGGAGAGATGTGAATTGACTACAGAAGTGGCATATGATCGAGCAGTGGAGGATAAGGAAAACCATTGCGTCCGCAGAGCAGCCAACTTAGACCATTGGTTTCTCAGGTTTCGTTGCGCCGCCGGTCTCCATCGCCGTATATCTTGAGCGGATAACGGTGTCGAAGGCGTTGTTGGCGGCGCCGGATATTTCGCAGCCGGACTTTGAATAGTACGGTCCGTGGCTACGTCGGAGGAAGCCGGAAAGCTAGCAAGTGTCGGCGACGGCGCCGGAGCAATTGAAGAGAGGAATTTGGATTCCATTGTTGTGACAGAGACTGATGGCTAAAGGTACTAGTAAACTGGTAGTAGACTGTAAAAGAGGTCATTTAGCACCTTTAATTTTAGAAAGTTAGCACTTAGATCCCTCGATTAGTCAAATTGTCACTATAACAACGTCCCTTGTGAAACCTCAAAAAAGAAAATTACAAACACAAGTAACCCCAATAAGAGAAGTAGTAATACTTTTCCAATTTAAAAAGAACAATAGATTCAAATTCATTAGTCCAGTCATCCAACTTTGGTGACCGATTACTATATCAATTTTTTATTATCTAGAATAAATTGAGAAAAAAATTTTAAAAGGGGAAAAGGACCAAAATTATCCCTCAACTATCGAAAATGGAACAACATAGAGCCCGTTTGGATTGGCTTATTTTAAGTGTTTTTAAGCCAAAATATCTTTTAAGCCATTTTGTAGTGTTTGGATAAAGTAAAAAAAATGACAAAAATAAGCCAAAAGCCAAAAGCTATGAAGGTGTTTGGATTGGCCTAAAAGCTGGTCAAACCAGCTTAAAAGCACTTTTGAGATTCATTGTTTTTTGGCCTATAAGCTCCTTATGTTTGACCAAGTGATTTACGAGTCCAAAACTTAATTAATAATTTTTTGAACATAAAATACATTTTTGATGTTAAAAAAAAAAAGATACAATAATGGGTATTTCGCAGTTTTATACTGCGAATTGGCTTAACGGATTTTTTGCCGTTAAGGCATTTCGCAGTTTTTAAAAAAAATAATTTTTTTATGACATTTCGTAGTACAGTACTGCGAATTACAATTCGTTGTACTGAACTACGAATTGCCCTAATAAAAACGGGTCGTCTTCTTCCCACAGACAACGATCTCCATTAAAAAATCAAACTCAAAGTTTTCTGGTCCCCCACCCCGCCTACAATTTATAAAAAAAAAAAATTCGGCCCCATCCGTCCCATAAAGAGCAAGAAGTGTAGGTCCCACACACAAAAGAAGTTTTGGATTGCGTGTTTCGGGTGCAAAATTCGATTTCAATAATATTTACATCGAGGTATTTCAATTTAGTTTATGCCGAAACTCATATAGTCATGCATTAGTATTGTTTAGTATGTTTCCATGTGAATATTTGTTATGTTAGTGTTTAATTTTGTTTCTTTTATATACCGGTTTGATTTATTTGATATCCGAATTTATGTTATGTTTGTGACCAAAAATGCTACTTGATTGTTTGTGTTAAATAATATTATTTATTTTGTTTATTTGTATTGTTGATGTTATGTTCATATTGTATAGCCTTATAGCGTAGTAAAATATAGTGTCTTTTAGCGAAGTAAAATATAGAGCCTTTCAGCGAAGTAAAATGTAGAGCCTTTTAGCGTAGTAAAATGTAGAGCCTTTTAGCGTAGAAATTGAGACTTATAATAATTAAGAATTATTCGGTGGCACCGGGCGTCAAAAATCAAGCCTGGAACCCATACATAACTATTATCTCCAATTTCAAAAATCATACTTAATTTAATTTATTACACTAACACAAAATTTAAAAATGTTGAAATTGAGACTTATAAGAATTAAGAATCATCCGGTGGCACCGGGCGTCAAAAATCAGCCTAGAACTGCAGGGTGACCATAGGTCATCCTATGTTTGGGAGGGACAGTTAGCGATGCAGCCTCTCCGCCCCAGGAGGCCTGATGATTTGTGGGAGTTTATTGCGGAGCATCGTTTCCATCCGCGCATAGTAGAGATCCTCCAGACTTCGGGATTATATACCATTTTTCAGCTTGGACGGATGCAGCTTGAGTGGTCGCTCATCACGTCCTTGGTAGAGCGGTGGCGACCGGAGACGCATACATTTCACTTGCCCACTGGAGAGGCTACTATCACACTGCAGGATGTCCAGGTTTTATATGGACTGCGTGTAGAGGGGCGCGCCTTCGCACTGCCCCACCACTGGAGAGGGATGACACGTGCACAGTTGGCGGACATGATGGGGTAGTTGACTGGTTCGAGACCGTAGGGTGACCGGGGTGGCAGTCGCGTGGCTTTATCATTCATTAGAGATCAGATGGCGGTATTGCACCCAGATATTACCCACGAGACAGAGCATCTTTGGATTCAGCGGTACACTCGGTTGGCGTTGCTTCTGCTTTTCGGGTGTGTCTTGGCCGTCCTCAGGCTATACCTAGGGAGCCTGGATGGGAGCCTACTCACTATCAGCGGGACGACCGTTCGAACATGGACCGACAGTATGTTGGGTGGCTACAGCAGCAGATAGCTTATTGGGAGGATCGAGCTGAGCGCATCCCGCTACCACCTACAGTTTTCCAGGAGGCCTCTATTCAGCTGTAGGATGGGTGGTACCACCGCCATACCCGATTGATGATCGGGAACCCCGTTCATGTACTTGGCGAGCGCTACAGACCGTACGCCGGGAGGCATGAGGCATTGGTATATTTTTGTGACTTATTAATATCTTATAATTGTGATATAGAGTTATTTAATTACTATTTGAAATGTTTCACAGGCTATTGGGCTTCATCGCATCTACCAGTCGGGACAGGAGATGCAGCAGCGTTCGGACATCCCTCAAGTGGTTGAGTATGGCCGGGAGATGGCCCAGATGGCTCGTCTGACACTGTTGCAGGCGAGAGATGCTGAGAGGTTAGACCATGAGCCTCAGTATGTGGCTCCAGGGGCCTACCAGAGGGGTAGGCCAGTCCCTCAGTATGTGGCTCCAATACTACGTTTTATTGAGTTGTCATTTCGTTCTGAAAAAGCTGAAAAGCATGTGAAAACCCTATTTCGTGGAGTTGTCATGTCTATGTAATTCGTAGTATAATACTACGTTTTGTGGAGTTGTCATGTTTGTAATTCGCTGTATAATACTACGATCTATTTGATATCTTGCCTATAAATAACAAGAGCGTTCGATACAATAAATTCCCTGTATTCATCCGGAATCCGCAAAAAATCTCTAAGAGTTTCATCATCCTCGATGTTAAACTCAGAATAATAAGCAAACCCCTGCGGAGTCACTGAATAAGGAAATCTACCGGTTACTTTAAGGCTAACCGAACGCCTCCGCTCACTCATTTTTTTACGTAACAACGATACCAATGTATCGTACTCCATATTAAGCGGCAATTTAACATGACACTGTGGAGGTGAGCTATACCTCACAGAGTTATTCTCCACCACAATCTCACCCCCCCAATACAATGAAACCTTATTTTTGGCACTTCAGACATTGTAAAAAATTGATTGATAAGGAAAAGAGAGAATAAACGTATGTTTGAAGTTTAAGTGTTGAATGAATTTTTATAAAATTGAAGCGCCTATAAATAAGGCAAGTCCGACCTTGGGGTGTACAATTTTTCAAAGTAATTCGCAGTATTATACTGCGTTTTATGTATTTGAATTATTATTATGTCAGTTAATTATTGGTGGGGCCTAAAATCAGCCTATTTCGCAGTACTGTACTACGAAATGTCATAAAAAATTTATTTTTTTTAATATTTTGCAGTTTTATACTGCGAAATGCCTTAACGGCAAAAAATCCGTTAAGCCAATTCGCAGTATAAAACTGCGAAATACCCATTATTGTATCTTTTTTTTTTAACATCAAAAATGTATTTTATGTTCAAAAAATTATTAATTAAGTTTTGGACTCTTTCTAGGAAATGTAGCTTTTTGTCAGTCTTTACACTAAATAATGTCAGCTCCTCAAAAATTTTCACAAAGAATTTACCGTAGGTTCCGAAGTGCTCCTACTGATGCATAATATTTAGCCTTAATGATTTACTATATTAAGTAGAAATAGCACTAGGTCAGGAATAAATGCACCATTTAATACCTTAGCATATTGGGCTAAAGAAGCCAATGCCCCTAATGCTTCTTGTTGGATCGTTTGTTTGCCATTCTGCATTTCAAGCAACAAAAAGCTGAGGAAAATATTATCAGTCTCCTGCACTTGTAGGTAGATTTGACATTCTGTTGAACCAGACGATTATGTGAATGACGAGATAGTGACATAACAAAGCAGCCCCAACAAAGCTGATGATCAATCTGTGCATCCAAATAAGTAATTGTTAATCATTTCAATCAAAAAGAATAACAACGAACCTCGCCTCTTAACTCTGCATAGTAAACAGACTGAAGTTGTTGGTTTTGTTAGCAAGTTCTTCATATGAAAATTCCACTGATTTATCTACTGCGATTCTTGGGGGCTCTAGAGAAGTACCCTAATTTGGAGGATCCCCTTCAAAGCTATTTTGATATCTCAGACTTGATAAGCTGAAAAAGATGTCACATGAGCAGTAAAATAGGGCTAACCTGTTGAGCTGTTTTGCCACACTTAAAAAGATATTAGAAGAAACTCAAACGGTTTGATTTTGCAGTTTCATGTGTCAACAAAAATTTTGTCTATTTACTAAAATTGTAGAACAACCTAATGGCAAACCAACCATTAACCGATGAAGTTGAAGACGATTCTTCTACTGGAGCAAAGGAAAGATGATACAGAGAACAAGGATAGACAGAGAGAAGATGAAGATGGTGACATGTGTTGGGGAGGGTAAACATTGATTTACCAAGAAGGCCCTAAAAGAGGTTGATATTACAAATTCTGAAAGGTAAACTAAAGTGATAAAAGGCTAAACCAAGGGCAAAATGTCACCCCGAAAAGTAAATTCTGACACGCGTACATTTATGCACAACACTCAGAGATGTACAATTTAAACGGAATCCCGAAATTACCCTTTTGAACAGCAAGCAGGACGACGAAGAGGCCCTTAACTCTCGCTTCTAAATAGTAGGAATATCTCGTGGTAGGCGTACCACCCGCTCCCATTTCATTATATCTCTGTTGCAGCGTGCAACCCGATCCGTATATAATATTGTTGCGGCGTGCAACCCGATCCATATTTGATATTGTTGCGGCGTGCAACCCGATCCATATTTGATATTGTTGCGGCGTGCAACCCGATCCATATTTGATATTATTGCGGCGTGCAACCCGATCCACATTTAATATTGTTGCGGCGTGCAACCCGATCCATATTTAATATTGTTGCGGCGTGCAACCCGACCCATATATATAATATTTACAATTATAATGAGAGTCCCGACAAGAGATCGATAA